ACATGTTTTACCAGTCCTGGGGAAAGCTCATTATAGTAAGATGTTGCACATTGTTCCTTCTCAGCAAGATCACGGCTTCAGCGCGCATAGGCGAAGAGAGGCCGCCATTTTTATTGCAGAGGTGAGTTGCTGGCGTTTATGTCGGGTGCGACGCTCGTTTGTGATGAGTTTCAAAGACATGACGAACGCGTTTGGGAGTTTTGACTGGTCTGAATTAAACTCACGGTCGCCCACTCTGCCTCGGAGGCGAACCGTAACTTGTGCTTGCAGCGCTACGAGAATAGCATGGTTGAATTAACTGCGGAAGAGGGGCCACTTCTTGTCAAACCGTTTCAAGGCGGTGTCATGGGGGACCCCTTCACCGTGGCCGCGTTTCTGGGTACACTCTCTCGGGCATCTTTACAGTGGGCCTACCAGTGGGGCCGAGAAGACCCGATGTCTCGTTTTTTGGTCTCGAGGTGGCTCGGTTTCCAGAGTGACTTGAGCTTGTTGAAGTATGCCGATGATGTAAACAAAACCGTCGTGGCCTCGGATCACATGACCTTTGGGGACCTTTTTGGGAAGGTTAAGGAGATGGACACGGTTTTCGATTCCGTCATGCAGCCTTTCGGGTACGTCCAGGACCTCGGGAAGCAGGAGTTTTTGACGTATGTCGCCTCCCAGGGAAATCGAGCTCGTCAAGCTATTCGTCGAGGTGTTGGGGTCCAGGGCAAAATCAAGGACAGCGTGCGGTACCTGGGGCCCCACATTCGAGTTCGAGATTCGAGCCACCAGGAGGTCACTCGCAGGTGTTCGGCAGCGAGGACTGCATTTTATCGTGTCGGCGGCATCTGGTCGCTGCCCATCCCCTTTAAGTTGCGCAAGTGTTTGCTCGTGGGCAATGTGCAGAACGCCCTCCTCTCAGGCATGGAGGCGTTTGTCCTCAGCAAGGCTGATTGTCGCAGATTGGACAGTTGTATTGCGTCGTTAGCTCGGATCGCTATGCTCGGCCGTGCGACGAAGACAGAGGAAAACAAGACGAGGCCCCTCTCTCACTCCCAGGTCTTGCAGTACTGGCGCATATGAGATAGTGAAAGTGAGTTGCGCATTCGCCGCTTGACATGGTATCAGAGTTGGGGGGAGAGACCCGATCATCATATTCAGCCTTTGTGTGCTATGTCCGGGGATCTCGAGGGCGAAGCAGCAGCAGGTTTCTCTCCGCAGTTGGTGGGTGGTTTGCCCTCGGAAGCGGCCTCCCCGTGGTTGTGTCAATTAACTCGGGATCTCGAGTTCGCGGCGGGGGTAGTCGACAGCGAGGCGATAGATGTTCTGCTGGGGGACTTGAATAAGTTCGGCTCTAAGGAGGAAATGGAGGACTTCTGTATGTTGGATATGGGTGTTATCAGAGCCGCTCAGGGTCGGGTTCAGGTTCCCCCACCAGGCTTTCTTCCGGCACCAGCTGGGTTCGAGGGGCCTCCTGAAGCGCTTGAAGGGGATTCACAGTGTAGGTGTATGGTCAGCACTTCTACGGGTACATGCGGGGCCTCTTTCCACACACGCAAGGCACTCATGAACCACTACAGGGCACATCATAACGTACGAAGTTTAGCACACGTGATCACACCTACGAATAGATGCGTGCACTGCCGACAGATATTTTCGACTAAGATTACGGCATCTAGGCACCTCCGGGGCTCCATTATGAGGGGAAGGTGTTGTACCACGGGCCCTTGGTCACTGGGGGAATTGCAACAGCCTCGGAGTCTGAAGTGTTCGGTGTGCACATATGAAGCAGCTGACTTACCCGATCTATGTAAGCATTTGGCTTCTGAGCATCTACCTTGGAAGTTGCCTCCATTCACGAGTACCGAGAGTACACAGCAGAGATGTGTTCCTGATGGCAGAGCTGATGATGACATCCTGGTTCAAGAAGAGAGACGGACCCAGCGGGGAAGGACAGTCGAGCGGTGGCACAGTCTCCAAGGCGCACAAGACGGACGGCAAAAGCAAGGGCAAGGGCGCCAAAGGCGCCAAGGACATGATGCGCGTCGTGGAGATGATCGTGCGCCTGCTGCTCACCAACACCCGCGAGCTCGCGGACGTGGCCAGCTCGGTGTTCCTCAGGTGGGACATCGCCCTAGATCGAGGCCTCCCCGCACAGCTGATCGTGGCGGGCAAGGGATACGACGAGGAGTCCAAGAGTATGAAGGCCAAGCAGGCCGCGGGCGAGGATCAGGACTTCAAAGGGAGAGGGCCGCCACACATTCACATATTCGTGGCAGCGATGAAGTATTGCGCGCCGAGAACTCCTACAGCGGGACCTACTCAAGGCGAGGAGGAGGCGCTTCTCCAGCAGGCGAAGGACTGGTGGCAGCAGTACATGAGCGAGGAGACTTCCTTGAAAGTGATCGGCAGGGCGGTTTCGTACTTCCGCTGCAAGCCGCTCAAGAAGGAGAAGCGCTGCATCATCATGATGAGGACGGACTTCAGCAGGCCTCTGGGAGTGGAGGCATCGAAGATTCTCGAGCAGGTGATCGAGGCAGAGGGTGGCGAGTTTCTGATGGGATCGGCTCCGAGGGGGCCCATAGAGAGAGAGAGAGAGAGAGCTCATGGCCCGGATCCACAAACAAGGCGAAGCTCGAGTACCAGTTCGCGGCTACAGCAGCTGATTGGACGGGGTGTGGTTCCCCCAGATGCCTTGGATCGTGCTGCACGGAGTGCATCATCGTACCGTGACCCTGGGCTACCGCCAATTCCGATAGTTGTGCTTGCTCGTAGTAAGCGGCAGGCTAGAAGGACGAGGAGGAGCAGGAGGACGGAGGGGGAGGAGGAGGAGGAGCAGGAGGGAGGAGGAGGAGGAGGAGGAGGAGGAGGAGGAGGAGGAGGAGGAGGAGGAGGAGGAGGAGGAGGAGGAGGGGGAGGAGGAGGAGGAGGAGGAGGAGGAGGAGGAGGAGGAGGAGGAGGAGGAGGAGGAGGAGGAGGGGGGAGGGGACGGGGCGGTGGGTCGGAGCAAGGGGCGGGGGGGGAAGGAGAGGAGCTCCCCGAGCCCGTGGGCCGGCCACCTTCGTGCGGGATGCGTGCCCGCCTGGTGTGCCAGACGTGGCCAGTGCCTCTGCTGGGGGGAGCGAAGGTCTCGCCCTGGAGAGTGATGTGGGGTCCGCAGTGACCCACCTCAGCGTCCTAGTGCGTGCAGAGCTGCAGTGCAAGTGTTCACGAGGTGTTGCAGTGATGCAGATAGCACAGGTCAGGACTCCACGAGTGTTCTATTCTATTCTATTCTCCTCCTCCTCCTCCTCCTTCTCCTCCTCCTCCTCCTCCTCATCCTTGTCATCCTCCTTCTCCTCCTCCTCGTCCTCCTCCTCCTTCGCCCCTCCAACTTATGGTGGTGGTGGTGGAAAACACGCCCATCAACACAATGCCCAAATCTGAACAGGGACCGACCGTGGCGGCACTCCTAGATGCCTACCACGACATGCCCCTAGAGAGCAGAGGAATGCTGCGAGAGCCGAACCGTGCTCTGAGAACGCAAGACCGATAGATTGAGACAGCACGGTCTCAGCCAGACGTGTTCTGAGAACGTGCCGTGCAAACTCCGAAAGTGTCTTAGAACACTATTTGGTGGGCCTATAGGCAAGCCAGGAACCCTCGCCACTGCTTGAACGTTGAGGGCATTGGATAAGGAACCAATGGATAAGGAACCCAGGATCTGGAGACCAGTAGAACTCCAATTGTGGAGTGGACATTGGTATCACCGCCGACCACATAAGCTGGGGAACCCTCAAGGGTCTGAAGCCTCCTGCACACATTCATGAACGACCGCCCCCACCGAATGGGAGTCTCACCAACAAGCTGGACACAGATTTAAGACGTGTTCTACAGAACCAAGAGTCCTTTCGGGATGAACTGGACGTCTGTTTCTCGGCTGCCGATGACGAAGATGCCACATCATCGTCGTCATCATCGTAATCACCATCATCACCATCGTCATCGCCATCGTCGTGATCATCGTCGTCGTCATCGTCATTCTCGTCATCGCCAAACCTTGGCTGGATTCACACGTGGAACACCTGGAGACCACCCGCTGGATACACGCGCGGAAACCCGGCCTGCACGGCCACAGGGGTGCCGAGCGCCGGAGAGACCTCTGGCCCCACGCGTGCATCCGCCTCTCGCCCAGGCTGGCCGCGCCACGTGCACAGCCAGACCCAGGCCAGAAGAGCACCCCTCCAGAAAACGAGACCCTCCGTCGGCCAGAACAGACAGAACATCCACAAGCGACTCCCCCCCCCCCCGCCGAGGATGCACGAGAGCGCCGAAGAACAAGCACGAAGAACACGAGTGCACCCTCTCCGAGCCGCCCTCGACCTCGTCACACCTCGGCCCGACCGCCTCCAGCCCTCGCCCCCCCCGGCCCGCCGCGCCGCGTGGACCCGGCTTCCTGGCAAGCGCTCGACCGTGGGCCCCCGGTGGCCCTGCCGCTCCCTCGGCTGCACGCGGGAGCCACCCCGGCCACGCGTGGACCCCTCGGCGCGCAGCTTCTGGGAGGCGCGAGGGGGGCCACCTCCGAGCGCGCGGGCTGCTGCTGCCGCACCGCACTCGGCGCTCGGGGTGGGCCCCGTGGGCCCGCACCGGAGGCCACTCCGGCGAAGAGCCGCTCACGTGCAGTCGACTCTCGCCGGTCCTTGGCGATCTTTCCACGCCGATCGGCGGTCTTCTTCGGCGGCCGCGGCGGTCTTCGGCGGCAGTGTCAGCCCAGACAGCCGGCGCCGCGATTTCTGTTCGAGGCGCGGGCCCCCGACCTCTCTCGACCACTTCCCCAGGGACCGGCTTTCCATCCCGAGTCGCTTTTTGACGGTCCCGAGGCCCGGTGGGAACCCTGAGGGGCCGAAAACTGCCAAGCCCCCCCTGTCTCGTTGTGTGGAGACGCCAGATGCCTGGGAACGCAAAAGCTGGACGGTCGAGTCTGACAAGGCGTCCGTCGACACCACCACCGTGGTGGTGTCGCTTTCCCTCTCTCCGACCTTGCGGCACCTCGCCGCCGCGCCAGCCCAACGGGCACCGCTGGCCAGGGTCGAAGCCGCGGAGGAGGAGCTCGATGAGCCTGCCGACCCCGTAGGCCATTGCCGACCCGAGCAGCATGCGGGAGCCCTCCCTGACCGTCTCCAACTTCTGCCTCCCGGTCCGCCTGCGCACCTCGGACGAGGAAAAGGCACCCATACCGCTACCCTCCGCCCGTTCTCCCTTGCTTGGGGGCCTCCTGGAAAGCCCTCGTCGCCACCGCTAGATTCGCCTCGAAACGCGGGTCAGAACGCACCCCGGGAGAGAACTTGTGAGTAGCGGCGTTGGTACCTAATAGTTTTAGGTCGGGCGTGTCCTCCTACAGAAGGATTTGGACGAAAAAACATTTAAGCCAGATTCAGAAATACTCAGAAATAGTAGAAAAATTCGTCCCCATACTATTTCCTTACTATTTTTGGATACTCTTCCTGTAGAGGGACGTGCCCGACTTAAGAGCAGCGGTATCGGTACCGATCTGGTTTCCCCCAGGCACGGAGGGAGGGGAGGGGAGGGGGAGGTGAGGGGGAGGGAGTGAGGGAGCACCTGCTCCTGGCTCTGCTCCGCGGCCCTCGCCATGACGGACTCGTGGCTGACCACCCGGCCCCAGCGCATCGCGGAGGCCAGGACCTTCTGAGCGGACAGCCTCTCGCCGACGTGCGACCGCTCCTCGCCTATGTGCGAAAAGTCCTGAGGGGCGGCGACAGGTGGGGGGGACTGGCGCAAGGGGGGGGGGGGGAAACATCGACCTCGTATGGGCGATACATCGCCGATAGATCGGCGATGGGCCCCCGATAGTAGATCCGCACGTTCCTGGGCAGGTTGGGGCTATCGGGCCCATATCGGCGATCAGTGGGCGTTTGGGGGTCGACGCGTCCCCTCCTGTGCCCATCCCCCCCGTGGTTGCCCCTGAGGTCCCCCGTGCGCCGCGAGGGGGCACATCTCAGCTCGCCGCCGTGCGGCTGCTCCCACGGCCGCCAGTCACGAGGAGGTCTCGGCGAGACCGTGAACGACGTCACGTCGGACGTCGCATCGCTCTCGTCTGCAAACTCCCAGGACGGCCTCGCCCGGGGCGTTACCGACTGCGTCGACGTCGCGCCGCTCTCGGCCACGGAGGGGAGGCTGCCGAAGGAGGGGACCGCGGCGTCGTCGAGGTGCGGGAGGAAGTCGTAGGAGGGGACGGAGGCAGACACCCGGGCACCGCCGAGCCCAGAGGGCAGCTCCCTCCTGCCCGTCGCGATGGCCGGGTCGCCGGGCGCCAGAGGTTTGCTTCGGCGCCGCGCGCCCCTCGAGGACACCGAGGACCTCTGGCTGCCATGGTCGTGCGAGCCGTCGGCGACCTCCGGCACGCACGGCGGAGGCATCTCGGCGGCCGGTCCGTGGGCATCAGGGCTCGCTGCGCTGGCGTCCTCCCCATGGCTGTGGCTGGCACCGGTGTGCGCGGCGTTGTCGCCGAGTGCTGCCATGCACGCCCTCGCCTCGCGGGGCCAGCGCGCCTGAATCCCACATGGCTGCGGAGATCATCCGCATCCTCGTCCTCGCTCCCCTCTCCCCTCCGCCTCCGCCTCCTCCACTGCATAGCTTCCCGCCCTTTTCCTGCTCCACCGACAGCCGGTTCCCTCTGACCCCCTTCTCCCCTTTGCTTCGCCTCCTTCCCTCTTCTCCTCTCTCCTCCCTCTACCCCTACCCATTTCACCCCTGCCCCCGCCACCTCGCACCCCATCCCTTCCCAGCGTTCTCCACCCGACATAATCTCGCCACAACAAATAACAAGTCACACACACTCATCCTCACCGTCCACCCCACACCTCCTCGTCTCCACCCCACACCTGAGTAACAGCGGAGGCCAGTCCACGAGAAACCTTCCACAAGAGGCCCAACCCTAAGACCCCAGCGATTTTTGGTGTGGGAACGGCTCCGCTTCCCATTATAAAACCATCGAAACTCAAGAAATCCAGGGCACCCTGGAGGCAAGCAGGGTGTTTTTTAGCATGGGTCTCCACTGTATACACCGTCATCCTCATACTCGTCAGGATCCCTCTCCCTTCTCCTCGGACCCACGCCGGCATGAACTACCGGCCCGTGCCCCCCCCCCCGCCCCCGAACACGAGGCCAGTGCCACCCGATCCGGCGACGGGTCGCCCCCCGATTCTGTCCGGGCGGCGGGGGGCCCGCCGCCCATCGGCGCGCACTCAGTCGTGGCTGCGCTTCCTCGATGCCCCTCCCTCCTCCTCCTCCTCTTCCTCCTCCTCTTCCTCCTCTTCCTCCTCCTCCTCCTCCTCCTCCTTCCTCCTCCTCCTCCCTCCTCCTCCCTCCTGCTCCCTCCTCCTCCGTACCTTTTCTTCCTTATGAATAACTTCTCCCTGTCGCACCCCGGGGCCAGAATTTTAGAGCGGGCCGGGCCATTTCTCGGTCGAGGCCATTTCGCCAAGGACGCCACTCGGGGCGGTCATGCGCCCCGCCGCGAGCGCCACCGCCCTACGCGGGCATCCGGGCCTGCGCAGCAGGGGCGCCGGGGAGGGGCGCTCACGCCGCTCCCCTCGCGCGTGCGGGCCGGCAGCGGGAGTAGCGCGCGCCGCGGACGCGCGCGCGCTGCACGCCCACGCGCGGGAAGCCAGCCCCACCACGCGCACCCGCGCTGCCAATATGTCCAACTCGGCCGTGTCGCTGAGGGCCCAGGTAACCACGTCGTCATGCGGGCACGCTGCGCGCAACTCCGCCACAGCGGAGCATGTACCCAAGAGGTGGCGTAGCCACTCCGCCAGCGAACGCCCCGAGGGCGCCAGCACCGAACACAGCGGGCACGCGGCCGGATTGCACCCCACCCCACGGCCCACCACACCTCCACGGGGAGCCTCCCAGCCACGCGGGCCAGCGACCACGCCTGGAAGAGGCGCCACATAGACCTGCTCCAAGGCGCCCAGCGGATGCCAGGTGTCAGCGGCTCCCGCACAGGCAGCAGGTCACGGTACGGCACCACGCCTTCGTTGTTCAGCGCCGCCAGCTGTAATACGAACCACCGCTGCTCGTGGGCCCGCACGGCAGGTACCACGAACGTGCGCTTCCACTGCTTCACGGCCTTGCGACGCGTGTCCGCGCACGCGCGCGCGGTGGACAACATGTCCTCCACCGGGAAGTCCACGGTGATACCCAGCGACCTGGTGACATCCATGGCGTGGTCCAACCATGTGGCCCCCGTCGTAACCCGCGTACCTGCCACCACCTGCGCCACCGGGCTCGTCGCGGGCAGCGCGAGCAAGCGCGCCCGTGCCAGGACGATGCGCTGTAGGAGGGCGGCCCCCCACCGAGTGAGCATGCGGGTCTCAGCCAGCGCGCGTACGTGTCCGCCGTCACCCAGGGGGGTTCGCCTCAAACTTCCTCACCATTTGTTTACTTCTGAAGCTGAACAAATAGCAACAACATCACAGATGGAGAGCGAATCGTTTTCAAAATGTGACTCTCGCCTTAGCGCCGCGCACACTAGTTTGTAAACAAAGCCCAAGAGCTTCACGGATTGAGGGCGGGTGGTTTCAAAATGTGGCTCTCGCCTTACCGCCGCGCACATTCGCTGAACAATCTACAACATCTTCACGGATTGAGGGCGGGTGGTTTTCAAATTGTGGCTCTCGCCTTAGCGCCGCGCACATTCGTTAGACAAATTGCAAGAGCTTCACGGATTGAGGGCGGGTGGTCCTCAAAAGTGGCTCTCGCCTGATCCCCACGCACATTCCTTGCTAAAATTTGCAAGAGCTTCACGGATTGAGGGCGGGTGGTTGTCAAAATGTGGCTCTCGCCTTACCGCCGCGCGCATTTGTTTAAAACACTTGCAATAATTTCACTGGTTGAAGGCGGTTCCTTTTCAAAATGTAGCTCTCGCCTTAACGCCGCGCACATTCGTTTGAACAAATCGCTTGAGTTTCATGGATTCCCATGACCAACGTACCAGACATTGTGTGTTGGAACGATTGTGGATTATGCGGGTGCAACAATTATGTTGATTCGCGGTGTTGAAGTCCCGAAAATGGCGTTCTGGCACGATTCCAGATCGTCAGGACGCGGCAGTCAGGTTGATTCGTGGCGTGGAGATCCCGAGAACAATGTTATGGCATGCTTCAGGTTCTTCAAACGGTTGTCTTTCAACGAAACAGTTCCCTCAATAAAAATGGACCGTTATAGGGTTGTGGGGGCCTATGAAGAGGGAGTTTGGAGGGATAATTCCAACATCGTTGATTACTCTTGCATTTACACTGGTCCCCCTCCTCCTCCTCCTTTATGCGGGCTCTCTGGGAAACCTCGGACGGACCATCGCGACCGCCGAGAATTATCCTTAAGTGACACTTAGTGGCCGCTATCGGCCTGTAGCGGCCGTTTAGTTGCATCTAGCGGCACTCAGTAGCCTTTAGCGGCCCCGATAATTATCATTTAGTGGCACCTCGCGGCCGCTACTGACTCCGAGAAGTACTATTTAATGGCACCTAGTGACCGTTAGTGGCTCCGGGAATAAAATGCCACTTGGCGGCACCGAGTAGCCCGAGATCTGCCATTCCATGGCACTTAGCGGCCGTCAGCGGTTCCGAAAATTACAATCTAGTGGCACTTAGTGGCCGCTCGTGGTTCCGAGAATTACCATGTAGTGGCCATGCAGCCCCGTCTGGGCCACGGGCATGTAAATCAAAGCTCGGGGTCGCCGACCTCCGTGCAGCCACAGGCGCTTGAATGGGACCGCCGGCCCCGTCGAGGCCGCAAGCGCTCGTGCCGCCAAGTGCCGCCAAGTGCCGGTATCTTCAAAAATGGACCAAGTCGAAGACATTCGACCGTCCCCCGAGTTGGCCACGTCACCTCCCCCTCCCATCCCCAGGAGGCTGCGACTCCTGGTTTTCGGATGCAGTGCTCTGCCGAGCGGCGCGCGGGCCCCTGCCCGCCTCGTCCTCTGCCTCCTCGCGTCGCCCCTGCTCCCGCGCATCCCCGTTCTGCTCGCAGACGCCCCGTCGCACGAGGGGCCCTCGGGCTCGTCTCCGTGATCGCTGTCATCCTTCGCCCCAGATTTTTTTTCTTAAACAGCCGCAGGCGAAAGCGCCGACGGCGGGCGGTCACGGTCGGGCTGCGGCCGCGACTAAATTCCCGAGCGCGCGCGGGGGCCGCGGATCAGGCGGCGGGGGGGGGCAGCGCCCAGGGCGTCTGAGAGGCCAGGCGAGCGTGCAATCCAGGGAGTCTGCAAAGACGCCCAGGAACGTGCAAGTGGCAAAACCCCAGACATGATCGCGTCGTAACAAAATCAGGACGGGCGGCTTGTGGCTATTTTTTCAGCCCTTGGGGTCCCTCGCCCGGCCTCGGGACCGCCAACAAAACGACTCGGGGCGAAAAACGGGTCCCGGGGGCAGGGGTCGGGACTTCCAGGGGGACGCCGCTCGGAAAAAATCAGGACGTCGCACGTCTGGGCCCCCACCCTTTTCTGCCTTCGCTCATTCTCAGTTTGCCCTTGCCGTTATTTCCCGGCTTTCGCTCGGCGTCTTGGACATCAATTTTGCCTGAATGACTCTGGGTCCCAACACACCGGCTAACAACGCTTGAAAACCAACTATTCGTTGCGTGTGCGTTTTTAGCTATGTAGATTTGGCGTTTCCACATCAATTGAATGCGTCCAACATTCCCGTCTACGACGTCCTTAATTCCTTCTCGCTGCATCTAGTCCTTCCCATCGCGTTTTGGGGGCAAGGTTCTTTTGCTCTTCTCCGGCCGTTGCTGCTGACTGGTTGCGGGGCCTCTGGGCCTTTTTCGCGCCGCTGTTCGACCGGTATTGGGGTGGTTGTTTGATGTTTAGCTCTGCGCGCGGAGCAGGAGGAACGAGAGGCAGCAGGAAAGCGAGAGCGGAAGTGAATACGGCCGGGAAGACAAGGAGCAACCTTCGACAAACAAAAAACAACAAACTCTGAAAAATGATCCACACAGAAGGGCTTACTAACGCTAAGAACACGAAGCGTGCTTTTACAGTTTGTAGCCTGTGCAGTGCCCAAGCTCAAAGTGCACTTCATCCTCCTCCTCCTCCTCCTCACCCTCACCCTTCTCCTCCTCCCCCTCCTCTCCATATTCCTCCTCCTCCTCCTCTTCCTCCTCCTCCACTTAATCATCCTCCTCCTCTCCCTTCTCGTTCCGCTCCTCCATCCTCCAGCTCCCCCATCCTTCCCCTTCCTCTTCTTCTCGTCCCCCTCATGATCTTCCTTCTCCGCGGGTTCGGGGGCGACCGCCCCCCCTGCAAAACTGATCATTTCATTTTCGTGCCTCCTTTCGCCTCTTGCTCCCCTCCCTTCTCCCCAACTCTCTCTCTCTCTCTCTTTCCCTCTTTCTCTGCTCTTCCGTGGTCGCCCGCTCCGCCAGGGCAGTCGGGATGGTGGTGGTGGTGGTGGTGGTGGTGGTTCGGTCGGGGGGGAAAAAACAAGACGATGTTTTTGTTTGTCCCCCCCACTAGTCAACCACCACCACCAGCATCGCAGCGCATTGCATCCGCATTGCAATCGGATTGCATTGCATGGCGTTGCACACCCTCCCGTTCAACCCCTGAGCCTGCGAGGATGTGGGGCGTGGGCCCTTTGTGGCTCATCCTCGTCCTCCTCTCTCCTCCCGTCCCTCCTTCCCCCCCCCCTGCTCCTTCCCCGCTCGCCCGAAGCTGTTGGGTTCGCACTGCCTTGGCCTCCCACGCCCTTGAACTGCATTGCGCTGCGTCGGAGTGGGTTGCATTGCTTCCTCCTCGTGGCAGCGGGCGGGTGCGCAGGAGGGGGCCAGGTGCCAGTACGATGCCATCTCCAGCTCGAGTTTCCGAACCCAGCCCGCTCTCACGAACGCGTTTCGAGCTGCCCTTCGAGTCTTGCAAGTGAAAAGGTGCGTGAGCACAGTGGTTCGCCAGATCATATCCTCCGTCGTCCCTCCCCTGCCCCCCCCCCCCCCCGCATGCGCGTCCTGGCGCGGCGCGGCGCGCTTCGCAGTCCGCTGCCGCCCGCCACAACCAGCAGCCGTTTTTGTCAGAGTCTTTTCGCCCAAGCATTGCTGCTCTCCTTCTCCTCCTCCTCCTCCTCCTCCTCCTCCTCCTCCTCCTCCTCCTCTCCTCGATGTCGTCCACTCGCCTTATCTCCAGAGCCATGGTTCTGGGCAGCCAGTCTGCTGACGCTGCTGCGCGGCACAAGAACCCGCAGTAGTTCGAATCCGCTCTGGACAGGGTAGCATTCGTGAACAGGGCGCACATTTTCAGGACCGTGAAATTGGCTACAATCGAAGAGTCCGTATCCCAATGTACTTTCGACTCGCGCACTGGTTTTCGCGCAATACGTCGATTTCGTTGAGAAAGAATTATCATGTCCGTGCTGTGGGGCAGAATACAGCACCTGCTGCAAGAAGAACCACGGCGTCCCTGGCTGGCGGTGGAGGGGCCCCCGTTACGACGACTCGTGCGCGAAGTGCCAGGGAAAGGAGAAGCGCGTCGGCACGGCGGGCTTCTCTGCTGGCGCTGATGGGGCCAACTGGATGAGCAAGCTGGACGTGATGGTCATGTGGGCGCTCGGTTACGGCCATGCCAAGATTGTGAGCGAGGAGCGGGAGACCCAGCACACTAACCAAAGTGCCATCGATCGCTGGTTAGAAGAATTCCAACAGGCCGCTAGCAAGCATGTCGACGACACTCCCGTGGCCCTGGAGCCGAAGACCCGCGGGCGGACCAGCGCTGCGAAGAAGAAAGCGCGCCGCGGCGCGGCCAAGGCTCCACCGCAGAAGAAGAACAAGAAGCAGAAGAAGAAGAAGAAGTCAGCGAACACTGGCTACAAGAAGGCGATGAAGGCGATGACGGCCTCGATGAAGGCGATGAAGGCGCCAGGGAAGACGCCCCCGATGAAGACTAAATTCGCCAAGCAGGTACAGAGAATGCGGCGGCCACGGAGCGCGTGCCCATGGCGGACGAAACGTACCCTGATCAGGGCAAGCGGAGCAAGCTGAACACGCACGCGCGGCCGCAAACGAAAACAGATTTGGATTTGGGAGGTCGTGCTGCAAGGCGACTCTGGTGCGTTCACCTTTCGGGTGCTAGATTGCCCCGCCGACGCCTTGGACGGCCGCCCCCGCGGCGCGGCCGAAGTGGTCAAGAACCTCAGGCTGCTGGCTCCCAGGAAGGACGACATCTTCGTGAGCGGCAATTGGGGAGGCACCGTCGCCGCCGTCAAAGGGCTTCGCACGAAGAAGTCCTGGCCAACGCCTAAGGCCTAAGCCGCAGCACGAGATCGTGAACCACTCGGAAGGCGAAATCGTGAATGCGGGGGTACTCCACGAACGCGATCGAATCCAAATTGGGGGGGTGGTCAAGCGGGGGATTCGGGCCAAATTCGGCGGGCTCATGCCGCAGCACCACGACCGCGCCAAATGGAAACTGATGCTGAACAAATTCCAATACAGGAAGGCGCACGGATCCGTCAGCCGCGACCACGGGCATTGCCATGAGGTCCCTCTCAAGGTGCTCATGAGCTACATTCCCATGCACTGAGCGGAGCGCCCATCACGGCCTGGCTTCTGGCGTTGCTTGCATTCTTGCCGCGCGGCTGTTCTCACGGTGGACCCACCGCCCACATGTTCAGCCCTCCGCTTCGTGCTTCCAGTCATCGGCGATGTATACCATTACCTAACACATCTTTGCTTGGTCGCGCGGTCAGCAGCGCGGCCATCAGCGGTTTCCCTTGCCTCATTATATCCAGCCTGCCGCTTTGTGTTTCCTGTGATCGGCGATGTATACCATTGCCCTCATGTGACCGCCGAGTTTCGTGGTAATTCGCGGGCCCTGGAGAAAACACTAGCTCATCTTTGCTTGGTAGGCCAATGAGCCTTGTTGATCAGTCCGCCCCAGCACGATAAAAAGAAACGACCTCATCGCTGCAGATGGGAAGTGCGAGGACATGAATGACGAGGGGTCAGTTTTTTGGTCGGAACCAGCAGACACATCGACCAACTAGTATCCTGCACGAGCTACCATCAGGGAAACAACAAGAACAAACTGTGATAATCGCAGGGGGGGGATTCGCCCCCTGACCCCTTCTACACTACCCCCCCATACGATTCCCCATGCTTCTCACCATCCCGCTCAGCATCCGTGGCCCGCTCCTTCTCTCCCGCGTTGTCCTCATCATGCCCCTCCAGTGGGCTACGTGTACAAGAATGCATCAGAGCATCTGTTTTATTTGTGTAGATGGTCATACATGGTACGCGCTAGAAAACCCGACATTCTCCAACATATGCAGAATCATGGAACACGTGCTACTTCCGCGGGCTTCCGCCAGCCTTCCGGCACCCTCCGCCGAGGGCGTGATGTCAACCTCTCGGCTCCTGAAGGCGGGACCACTTCTGGAGCACCCGATCGCCTCCCGCCTACGTGCGCGTCTTTCTCATCCTGACGAGCTCTCTTCCTCCTTGTCCTCCTCGTCGTCTTCCTCCTTCCCGCCTGCTCCTGCTTCCCCGCCTTCTCTTCTCCTCCCAGAAATCCCCCACCCTCTGATTATTCTCCCCATGCTCGTGCAAACC